ATATATATTTCTTTCATATTATTTCTGTGGTGTTACTAATATTGTCTTCTTTTGTCCTTTTGTTTTCTTGAGCCGAGTGTCTTTCGGAAACAGCCTCTCTACTCCTTCGGGGTTGAGGTAAGGTCTGCATACACACTACCCACCCCAGACCCAACTAGGGGGATTTCATTGGGTTGTTGTTGTTGTTGGTATGTTGTATTAAAAATAACAATTGCATAATTTCTAAGAAGAAGATATAAGTTATCCCGACACTAATTATCCCACCCCCTACAAGGTATAAGTTATCCCGATACTAATTTTAATCCCGGAATAACTTATCCCAGGTTTGCTAATCAAATAAAGTATTAAGGTGATATCAAATTTTTTTCTCAACAGTATTTCTACTTATATCTCGTACCAAACGGCCCCTTAGGAGTTGTTTTATGTAGAAGCAAGTCAAAATCGTGAAGACGGATCCAAAATCATAACTATATAAGGGCGAAAACAAATGAATCATTTTTACCTTAATCTAGTGTGTATTTGTATATATATAAAAAAGTAGGCTCGGTTGTTTCCATGCACGTAAATAAAATTAACTATTCTCATGTCATTTATATGATTGGATAGAGGAAATACCTTCTTCTCTTACTTATAAAATAAAATAAAAAACATTTGCAAAAGCTACTAGATTATAATCAACTACTTATCTATGTACCATTAAAGAGCGTGGTGCAGTGGATGAAATTGCTCCTTCCTTAACCATGTGGGAAACCAAAAATATAATTAACTAATTAGCTAAAACCGAACAACGTGTAAGAAAATATAAAAAACTTTACCTTTTCTCTTTCAAAAAGGATATAACGAGTATAGGTAGCCCTTAGGTATTTTTATAGGACTTGAGATACATCAAAGATAAAGAATGAAGAATTTGGAACATTCAATATCCAAGAGCTGAAGGAACATATACTTTTTAAAATAATACAAAACTGAGGATTTTACTATTTCAGAGTCTCAAACGGCAAGTGAGATAACATCCAAACATGAAAAGTCACTTAACAACAACAATAACAACAACAATAACAATCCAGTGGAATCCCAAAAATGGAGTTTGGGTAGGATCGTATGTACGCAGATCTTACCCCTACCTTGTGAAGGCAGGGAGGCAACAAACTCATAGCGTGCACACACACACAACACACCAAGTAAAATCCCACTAGTGGGGTCTGGGGAGGGTAAAGTGCATGCAGACCTTATCCCTACCCCGGAAGGGTAGAGAGGCTGTTTCCGGGAGACCCTCGGGTCAATAGAAGAGACAATAATATCAGAAAAGAAGCAAAAGAATAGGTCCGTAACAACAAAAGAAATCAGAAAAATAATAACAGTGTCGTAAGTGACAGCAAATAAGTGGAAGGGCAATAACACTGGCAACAAACTCATAGGATTTTCCAAATTATTGACAAAGTACAAATCTTTGTTATTGTTGGATGCATATACAACTGTAGACAGATCATACCTAAAGTAAACAATTACTGATTCTATAAATCTGAGGTCTGTTGTGTTGGTCAAAATCTGATCACCTCGACCAGGTTGACCACGACCCCATTTTTGCAACCGGCTAGTAGAAGTCGATAGAGTCAACTTCATTTCTTCTCTAAGACATCCGACACATTGAAGAGAGCGACGCCTAGCCACGACCAGAAAGCTCCACTGACCCAGACACGCCAAGTCACAGCAGGGGTAAGAGGGTTTCGACTATATATATAGGCCCAGGGAAGCTCACAAGGGGGAGGGGGGATTTTCTGACAGAAGAGAGATAAGAAAAAAGCTCCATTCTTATATCCCGAAAGAGAAAAACAATTGTAATTCTTCTCCCTCATCTACGGATGAAAAAGGCAGTGCATAATCTTAATAAGATCTTTGACATTCCATTCATCTTATGCGCAATCATTATTACTCATTCTTTCGATCTGGTATCAATTAAGTTTGACGACAATTTATCCCTTCATCTTTGATTGATTTGTTCAAAAGAATTTAGCGTCTTTTGAGTCAAACATAACTTTGTATTAGCTATGTACTCATGTGCAAGGAATACTGAAGAGTACAGTATCATTTGTTTTCTCTTAAACCTGTTATGGGTCGGAATGCAGCCAAGAACACAGATACCTTGGACAACAGAAAGCCGATAGTCCCAAGCATCATATCTTACGGTGTCAGCACACTGGAAATGTCTCCGAGGGCATATTTTGCTGCAACTGTAGTAACTGCAAGAGCCAGTACTATGTTTGTCACTGAGCCTTTGAATCCTTTACTGGTTTGATCAAGAGTTTCTGTCCTGTTAATTGAAGTCAAGTCTGAAGATGGTATAACATCAACGGACCTTTGCACGAGTAGTAGATATAGAAATCCTCCGATACTACCTGTTAAGATGGCGATTGCGGACTTTTCTCCAGCTAAGAATGCAATAGACGAACCAGCAACAGTAAGGATTGCATCATAAAGCAATAAAGATAACTTCAAATCTGCATATTCCTTCATGGTGTTTTCATTTGATATCTTCTGAGTGCTAAGGGAAGATGATGGCAAAGTTTTCTCATTTAACGATACAATGTTGTCCTGGGAAAACTCAGTAACTGAATATGGTCTAAACTCCATCATGGAACTATCGCTTTTCTCACCGAGCAAGACATCCTCGATATCAAAGTCATACTGGACAGCAGTACAGTCGGATAAATTCTTCTCATTTCCTACTGACTCAGAATTTAGACTATTGGGCTTCAGTTTATTAATTTCTTTTTGATGATTAAGATATGCATAATGGTAATCAAACAAACAGTGAGCACCTTGACAAATTCATTTTCTCATTCAGCTGCTAAAATTATGACCTTAGTCCGGGTCCAATTGACAGAGATACTGGGAACTAAGCACTCACTAAGTGTATCACTAGTATATGCCGAAGTCTGAATCCCCATACCACCAATCTCCTTTCAAACTTGTCATTCCTCTTTTTATATAGGCAAATGATGTAATCATTTAATGCAGAATATTTGCGTAAACTTGATGAACCTTACTGTTGAGTAATCCAGATTCTAACTGGTTCGAGATAAGATCAAACATAGTGTGAAGTGTAAACTGAGGTGACTGTCAAATGCAGTTTGGTGTATATCGAAACACCAAATGTACTTTCCAGAGAAATATTATGTAACAGTTTGATCCCGAAGGCTTTTCTGGACAAAAAGATCACACCTCAATCCTTAAAAGAACTTGAGTGTTGGAAAGTTTAAAAAGAGAAAACAAAAACAAAGTGAGAAACGTATTTAGTTTCGGGTTTTTAATACACGTGTGGGTTGTTGCTGTTTAGTTTGTTTACAAACTTTTGGGTTTGTTCTATAGAGTTGTTAAGTTTTTCTTCAAAGTTTTCTGGGCCTTGAATCTGGGTCGAATTGCTGATGTTGGTTTGTTGTTGCGTTGCTGTGTATTTACACTACTGCTGCTTCTACTGATCTTCATCTTCTTTCCTTGCTTTCCAAATATCAGGTACACAAACTGATACACTGGTTCATCTTGTAAGCCACTCGAAGCATGAATACAAAAATGAGAAATATTTGAAGTTGTAGTTTAATGTAGTCTTTTTTTTTCTTTTACTGTCTGTATGTAGAATATTCTATGCGCTGCCCATTGTCACACCTCCTTTCTCCGCCCCCGCGAGGGGTGAAGGAGTTTTTTCCAATTAAAGGACAATCGAAACGGGATTTATTTATTTATTTGAGTCGGCACTTGGGAGATTTAGGGTGTGTGGAGAAGATCAGAACTCTGTGACTGTGTAGAATGGACATTCATCTATCAAACAAAGCAGGACTACTTGTTTGCAGCTTGACTTTGTATAAGGAATTCGATGTTTACAATTTTGAATGATTGAGATTGTTCTCCAGCGACCAATAAGGAATTCGATGTTTACAATTTTGAATGATTGAGAATGTTCTCCAGCGACCAATGTTGGGAATAAACCCCTTATCAAAATAATATTCACGGTAATAAAGCGGAATAATCATGTAGCACCGAGATACGGTAATTAACAAGAATAAAAGAGTAACAATGACACACCAAGATTTTTACGTGGAAAACCCTTCTGAATAAGGGAAAAAATCACGACCCCGAGAGGA